CACATAATGAAATCATCCTACGGAAAGCTATAAAACAAAATTAAAATAATCGATATAAAAAACAATAAAAAATCATAACATTCACTTTGTGAATTGGAGAAAAAAAATATTATTAGTCACTGGATTATCACACAGAAATCTGCAAATTAGAAACCCCCAAAATTGAACAGCACAAAATTTACCTTGCAAATACGCAATAGCCAAATTACACTGCCCGGCCGGGTCGCCGAGCTCGGCCGCCCGCCGGTACCAGAAAATCCCCTCCTCCCTTTTCCCCATTTCCCAACAGATCAGCCCCGCGTCCACTATCGCCAACGTGGACCCACGCGCCGCCCCCTTGAGGAAGCACTCTGTTGAGTCAAAATTGGAAGCACTCTATGTTTTCTTCTTCTTCTTCTCCTTCTTGCACTTCTCCTTTACTTCCTTCCTCATTCCCTTTTCCTTCTCCTTCTTCTTCTCAAATTCCTGCTCCTCCTCCCTCACCTAGTTCTACTTCCTCTACTATTCCTGCTATTCCCCTTATTGTCCAACTTCCTGTTATTTCAAATAATTCTTCTCCCTCATCATCTTCTTCTCTTTCTCCTGTCCCTCAGTCTTCACTTCCCTCTACTTATGCTCCTCCATCTCATCACATGGTTACTAGATCAAAGGCTGGTATATTCAAACCCAAAACCTTTGCCACTCTCACCTCTCTTCCTCTTTTGGAACCTACCTCTGTTTCTGAAGCATTGTCCAAACCAGAATGGTTTGCTGCTATGAATGCTGAGTTTCAGGCCTTACTTGCCAACAACACTTGGGTTTTAGTTGATCCCACCCCTGACATGAAAGTGATCTCAAATAAATGGGTTTTTAGAACTAAGTACAAACTTGATGGCTCTGTTGACAAGTTTAAGGCCAAACTAGTGGCTAGAGGTTTTCAACAAACTGTCGGTGAAGATTTTCTAGAGACATTTAGTCCTGTGGTCAAAGCTTCTACAATAAGACTTGTGTTCACCCTTGCTGCCACTCATTCTTGGTCCATTCAACAAATAGATATTAATAATGATTTTTTAAATGGAGACCTCACTGAAACTGTTTTCATGGCTCAACCAGAAGGCTTTGTTGACTCTAATCATCCACATGTTGTGTGCCAACTTACCAAATCTTTGTATGGCCTTAAGCAGGCTCTCAGGGCCTGGTTCACCAAGATTAAAACCTTCTTATTGTCTCTGAATTTTAAAGAATCTGTCTCTGACTCCTCTCTATTTTATCAAAGGTCAAATGGTGCTTTATTGTTGGTCTTGATTTATGTGGATGATATTCTAATAACTGGTGACAGTTCACAGTCAGTCCTTCAACTCATTGCCACCCTAGGTAAAAAGTTTGTTTTAAAAACCATGGGGGAAGTCAATCATTTTCTTGGTTTTGAGGCCCTCAAGACCTTAGATGGTTTTATTTTAAATCAGGCAAAGTATGCCTTGGATCTTCTGGTCAAAACAGGTATCGTGCACAGTAAACCAGTCTCCACTCCCATTTCTCCTTCTCATAAACTTCATCTCAAGGACAGTGCACCCTTCTCTGAACCCACTTTGTTCAGAAGTGTTATAGGTGCTCTTCAGTACCTCACCATGACCAGACGGGATATTTCTTTTGGTGTAAACAAACTCAGTCAATTTTTGCATGAGCCAACTCAAAATCATTGGCTTTCTTGTAAGCATCTTCTCAGGTACATCAAGGGCACACTCTCAGTTGGTCTTGTTTTTTGTCCTGTTCACCGGTTTACACTTGAAGCCTACACAGATGCCGACTGGGCTGGTTGTGTGGATGATAGACGATCAACTGGCGGCCATTTCATTTTCTTGGGATCAAATCTCCTCAATTGGGGTTCAAAAAAGCAATCAGTTGTTTCTCGGAGCAGTGCCGAATCCGAGTACAGGAGTCTTGCTAATGCCACCACTGATTTGCTTTGGATGTGATCGCTTTTTCAGGAGCTGGGTCTTTTTCTTGAAACACCCTCTATTCTGTGGTGTGACAATGATAGTGCAGCGGCTCTTGCATCTAATTCGGTTCATCATGCTCGAACTAAGCATATTGAGATCGATGTTCATTTTGTTCGCGAAAAGGTTGCTGCTAAAGATGTGGAGGTTCGTTATGTTCCTTCTGCTTCCCAGCTTGCAGACTTGCTTACAAAACCACTCTCTCCTGGTCGCTTCCATTTGCTGAATTCTCGGCTTCCGTTGCGCGCAAAATGCATTGCTCAAGATGGCTCGGTTTCAAGGGGTGTATTAGCTAATAAGTACAGTAATTAGTTTTGGTAGTCACTATGCATTATTAATCAGTTCATGAAGTTAATTGTAACTCTGATTAGTTAGGCAGTTAGCACGTGGTGACCGTCCTCTGTATAAAAACATATGCTTTTCATCATTCTCATTTTAATAAAAATAGAATACAGCTTTCTCTGTTCTTCCATACTTTCCATGGCTTCTTCAAGCTTCAACACGGTACAATGAAGGAAGACCAGAGACCTTAAGAAAATATTAAACTAAAACACGACGGGGTAAGAAACCCCCACAAGGTCATCTGAATTCATGCTACTAGGCAGAGGGGGAGACGAAATCCGGTAACTTCTATATATGTTTCTCACTTTCCTCCACCAAGTGTCGTAGATATTTAGAATATTTATTAATTGGTGGATATATAGAGTACATAGATTAATTGATTGATAGATTAAGACTTGAACAATTAATTATAATTAATTAACTTAAAATGACCTTACAAATGGGGAAATTATAGTCAAGTTCATTTATCATATGAGCATCATATCTTTTAAATAACTTGTTGACATAATTCTTAAAACATAAATTCTTGTATGAGACGATTCAGAGGCGTCGTCAGAAAAAAAAAAAAAATTAACTCGATGTTGCATATTACTTTAGCTATATATTACTGGAACCAAGTAGACATGGCCATGGCCGACACGACCCGCCGGTTCGGCCTGAACCGACACAAACTGGCCCATTGATCACGGGCCTTGAATTTGTCTGTGGTTTTGGCCCGTCCGATTCATTTTCAATACTTTATATTTTATACATTTTGAACATACGGCTTTAGTTCCGAACCGGAACAAGAACCAAAGGTTTGACCTTTTTTAAAATAATAATTATTTTTTTTATTTTTCTAATTCATCGAGTGGCCAAGAACTGACGGTTCAATGAACCGGCTCGTTCATATGTTCGAGCCCTCAGCCCACGACCTGTAGTTTCGACACGGAACCGGTTTTGGCTATAACTAGAACCGAATTATTTTTAACATATTTCGGTTCAACTTGTGAAAACTCAATTTCGGCTCGCTTATATATCTAAACAAGCCAAACTCAAATAGCTAATCGAATTTATCCATTAAACAAATGAAGTCGACCATGTTTGCAATCAACTATTTAAGAGTTTTTCTCTGTCTAGGAACATGTTTGCAAATCAACTATTTAAGAGTTTTTTTTTTCTGTCTAGGAAATGAGGAAAAATTAATTATTGTGGGCGGAATCAACAAAAACGAAATGAAAAACAATAACCGACTTTACAATTAGACGAGCTTAATTAAATAACCCGCATGAGAAAGTGTGTGTCAAATTTAATTATCCAACTCATTTGATACTTGTCAAGTCATTCCATTAAGAGTTTAAAAGACAATAGATTGTTGGCCCACATTATATAACCAACATATAAAAATCTAGTGAAGACACAATGAAGAATTGTCGTCTTTTCTCTCACTACGATCACCATTTTTTCACGATTGTTGTTAAATAAACAAATTTGACCTGATTCTAAGGTAACATCCAGCCTGAAATTAGAGGCTAAATTAAAAATTGTGCATAGCGCTATGTATAAAAAATTTATAAAAATAAAGATAACATTTTTTTATGAACATAGGGCTTCAGCCCACCCTAGCCCATGAATGGTTCCGCCCCTGAGTCCACCCATCATACTTCTCTTAAAAAAAAAATGCATACTTTTACTCTTATACTATGAGATATTGTTTATGTTTTTTTTTTATTTATTTATTATTACTACATTTTAATTTAAAAATATGAATATTCGGCAACACTATGTTCTGACTTTACAAAACATCCTTTTTTTAGCTGTGTGAACTTATTACATGATTCACCACCACACTATTCATCAACACATCAAGGGATTTATTCCTCCATTCAATAATGAGAATGTAATAATCATTATTTGCTATGTATTGAATGAGTCTTTTTGCTCATCACACACACACACACACACAAAATAAAAAAATAAAAAAATAAAAAAAATCCACACAGATTGGATAGATTTCACATGAATTCACATTCCAAAAGTTCCAAAAACATTTATTTCATACTTTTACCTTTTGTTTTCCTCTCAATATCAATATTTATTAGTACTGAAATTATCACTATACAACTTAAAGACTTACTTTAGATTGAGAACTCGAATTATCAGTCCATTGTCCGGGATCCAAAATCCGTATCCCTCGATTAAAAATCGAAATTATCAGAGCCGATCGAGAGTGAAAAGCAGAATAAACCTTGGCAAGAATCGAACGAACAATATACGCGCCGATGAAGAAACCCTAACCCTAGCACTCTGGATTATATCACTTCCAAAGAAAAATTCAACTGTGATATATACATAATACAATGAAATCTCTGAATAAAAAAGGATATATAAAAGATAATATATACATATATATATGTAACATTATCAACCTCTGTCACATTGTCAGTAGCTAAAGTCATATAAGTACAAGAATATTGTTATACAACAACAATAACAAAAGAAATTTCAAATAAAAAGAGTCTAATTATAAACTCATAATATATGGTACTAGCTAAGTGAAAAGGAAAAAAAAAA